TGTGTTCATCCAGCTCTACACCTTGTTATCTCAGAGTTTTGGATGAGATTATGTTTATGTAGGGTGGAGAATGGGAAGCTGGCCAGGAATGGAATTGTCAAATCTAAAAAGAAACAAAAGCACGGGCCAGGTTTTCTGCAGCCAATGAGCCACGGCAATAAAAACCTGGGTGATGTTATGAAGATGAGAATCGCTGATCCTAATGATAGCACAGACATGTGGTCAGAAGCTCAACTCCAAGACAAATGCAATATCTATGTAGTGAATGGTGTACTTCAGCCTCAGTCACCAACTCCATCCTTCTCCCTGGTAGGTGTCGATGAAATAAATTTTGCGTATTATTGCTAATTATTAATCCAGAAACTCAGCTAATGTTCTGGGGACTTGGGTTCTGCCACGACAGACAGTGGAATTTGAAATTAATAAAAAGTATCTGGAATTAAGAATCTATTGATGACCTTGAAACCATTGTTGATTATTGGGAAAAACCCATCTGGTTCACTAATCTCCTTCAGAGAAGGAAATCTGCCATCCTCTCCTGGTCTGACCTACATGTGACTCCAGACCCACAACAATGTGGTTGACTCTGAATTGCCCTCTGAAATGGCCCAGCACGTCATTCAGTTCTACCAGTCGCTAAAAAGCCCCTGCAACAGGGATGGGCAATAAATGCTAGCCAGCCAACAATGCCTGCATCCCACAAATAATTTTTTTAAAAATTAAAACTACCCCAGCTATTGAGCTCCTCCTTACACAGAACTGCTTATTCTGCACAAGAAGCCTCCACAGTCAAAGGCTGTGCTCACCCTAAATCTTCCATCCATGCAAATCAACATCAGCAAACCACCAGCCTCACAACATCATCATGCTTGCTCTCAGCCCAATTCATCCACAACTTGAGGTCTTTAAACATGTACCTGAGAGTCTATTAGAGCTGAGAGTCAGCGAGGACTTGCTTGTGGCAGGTCAGTTTGTGCAGAGGGGTAGCCAGGCACCTTCTGTTCTGCACACAAGTTTTAGCACAGACATGGAGTCAGACAGCCTATGTGTCTTAGCCTGCTTTTTTACACACAAAGTTTTTCGCACTGAGTTAGAGACAGGCAGACTGCGGCTTAAGAGATAGTAGGAACTGCAGATGCTGGAGAATCTGAGATAACAAAGTGTAGAGCTGGATGAACACAGCAGGCCAAGCAGCATCAGAGGAGCAGGAAAGCTGACGTTTCAGGCCTAGACCCTTCTTCAGAAATGAGTAAACAGAGACAGGGTGGACAGATCCCAATTGGACGTCCCATTTCACTGCGAAGCAGCACGGACCCATGCTGCCATCTCTGCCCAGGCTGCCTGGGTCTAGTGGAGTGACTTCTTATTGTGGTCAGTCAGGAAGAAGATTGATCTCCTCTGCATTACCCTGTCTACCAGTAACTCCAGATCTTTCACCATACAGAACAGGAAACAGCTCATTCTCTTTTCTTGAGACGGGCACCACAGTGCAAAAGACAGCGCCTGAAGAGCTATCCGGCTGGAATATAAGTATAAGGCAAAAGCCTTGGAAGATGGAAGCACCCTCAGTCCTTTGCTTGCTCCACAATTCACCAAGTAACATGGACAAAAATCGCACTCACATGACGCAGAGAAACATGCGACTGCGCAAAATAACTCAGGCAGAAACAACACAATGAAACATCAGAGCTTCAAATTGGAAAAACCTTTCCATTCTGTTTTCAGATGATGTCACCAAGGGGCAGAATGGAGATTCTGGGAGTGGGGGTTGGGGACTGGGGGCATCAAAGCTAATGGTGTGCAAGGAGATAGAGGAGCAATTGCAAGTGATACTCTGCCTGTGACTGAATAAGTGAAGAATGGATGTGCCAGTTGGCTGGACAGCGTTGGTGTAGCATCAGATGGAGTGGTTATTCATGTTAAATGCTGCAGCCAAGTTGAGGAGGAAGTGAAGGGATAATTCACAATTGCCATAGTCACAAAGACTTTGGTTAGGGCTGCTTCAGTGCTGTGGCAGAGGCAGAAACTTGATCAGAAGGCCTCAAATAGGGAGTTAGAGATAAAATATGCATATTTTGGGAAGAGACAATATGTTCAAGAGATGCAGAATTTATTGCAGACAATTTATCAAATATCACTATGTTAGTCAGCAGCCATATGAACACTGGCTACAAGAACAATCTGAATCTGGGAATTCTGCAGTAAGTAGCCTCCTGACTCCCCAAAGCCTGTTCACCAACAACAAGGCACAAGTTAGGTGTGTGATGGAATACTCCCCACTTGCCTGGATGAGTGCAGCAGCTCCAACAACATTCAAGAAGCTCGGCACCCTCCAGGACAAAGCAGCCCACTTGACTGGCAACACAATTACAACCTTCACGATTCACTCCCTCCACCACTGACACATAGCAATAACAATAGCAACCTCAACCATCCAAAAGGACACGGCCAGCAGATAGATGGAAACACCACCATCTGAAAATTCCCCTCCAAGCCACTCACTATCCTGACTTGGAAATATATCACCATTCCTTCACTACCCCTTGACTGAAATGCTGGAACTCTCTCCCTATCAGTATTGTGGGTCAACCTATAGCACATGGATTGCAGCAGTTCAAGAAGACAGCTCCCACCACCTTTACAAGGGCAACAAGTTACAGGCAATAAATGCTGGCCCCGTGATCAACACCCACATTCCACAAGAGAATTAAAGAAAAGGCAGTTCACCACTACCTTCCCCAGACCAATTAGGTTTGGGCAATAGATGGTCGGCAAAGTCCACACCCAATGTGAATAAAAAGAAACTGCAGGCCTGACTGGAGGAAGCATGGTAGAGATCTGTTGGATTCACCTGTCACTTTAGAAACCGGATCAGCGTGCAGCTTTTACTTCGGGAAAAACCAGACCCCACAATGAACTGACGCATCTACTTTGGGAACTAACAGGCCTTATCTGTGAAGTTTGCACTCACCGGGTTGGTCATACGATGCCCAGGCGAGGTTCTCTCCACATTGTCCCCGGCTGGATTCCGGGCTGTGTTTGAGCACCCGGGTACTGGCCAGAGACTCGGCGTATCTACGCACAGACACAAACAGTGAGAGTCAATGCAAACAGGCAGCATCTAAACCCAAAACCGCCAGACAAGAAGAAGGAACTTACTGTTGTGCATCTTTACAGAGTTTGCTGCAAAGTTTCAATCCCGGAGCACCATGTTTCTTCCTATAATCGTTGTGAGTTTTTAAAACTTCACGGGAAAACTCCTTGGAAGCTGAAATGATACGTTTACACAAATCACCATTACAGAATAAACACCAAGGGGATGCATTTCAAATCCATATTGAAAAGACTGACCTGATTTGCCCATATTAAGCTTCTAGCTGGAGATCTTTGACAGAGTTAATGAGGGATTTGTTATACAGCAGACGCTGCTTACCTCACTCTGACCCGCCAGCGCCTTATAAGGAGCGAAAGGAAACCTTTTCCGGGATGGAGGCCGGGTACTGAGCCGTGGCTGCTTCCCGCAGCCAGATCCAGCTGGACCAGCTACGTCCCGGGTCACTCCCCTCCCCCACCCCCGGTGGGAGCAGCTCTGTCCCGGGGTCACTCCCCCACCCCCGGTGGGAGCAGCTCTGTCCCGGGGTCACTCCCCCACCCCCGGTGGGAGCAGCTCTGTCCCGGGGTCACTCCCTGTCCCGCGTTTGTTCCTCTGGAAGCACAGGCCAGAAATACTCTCACAACATTCTGACTTCAGCTGACATTACTGGTATTGCTGTCAAGCTCAATTGTCTGAATTTTACAATGTAATTGTGGTACAAAGTGTCATGAGAAAATAACAGCAGGTTGAATGTCAAGATAACAAGGTGTAGAGCTGGATGAACACAGCAGGCCAAGCAGCATCAGAGGAGCAGGAAGGGCTGACGTTTCGGGCCTAGACCCTTCTTCAGAAAAGAATGTTGAGGTCAGTAAACAAAACCTCCCAGAATCCACTTGCTTAAAGCTGAGGAACAAAAAAAAAGCCAGTTAGCACGCTACATGGGGCATTCTATAGACATCCATAGAAGCGTTATAACATAGACATCGGAGAGCAGATCTACAGTGAAATCACAGAAATATACAAGAACTGTAGTGTGGTGATAGTGGGAGTTATTTTTATTCACACCATGTAATGATCGGTGGCTAGGTTGGCATTTATTGCTCATCCCTAGTTACCCTGGAAAAGGTGATGAGCTGCCTTCTTGAACTGCTGTAGTCCTTGCAGTATAAAGACACCACAATGCTGTTGTGGAGGAATCCAGGATTTTGGCTGACCAACAGTGAGGGAGCAGTTTTCAAGTCAGTATAGTGATTGTCTTGCAGATGGTAGTGTTTTTACATACCTGCTGACCTTGTCCTTGTAGGTGATAGAGGTCATGGGTTTGGAAGTTACTGATGGATCCATAAGATCGTAGGCATAGGAACAAATAGTCTATTCAGCCCATCGAGTCTGCTCTGCCATTCAACAAGATTTTATGGTTGATTTGAAAATGCTCAAATCCATTTCCCTGCCTATCTCCATAACCCTTGTTTCTGTTACTGATTCAAAACCTGTCCTTCTCAGTCTTGAATATACTTAATAACCCAGTGACGACAGTCTCTCTGCAGTAAAATATTCCACAAATTCACTAACCTCAGGAGAAATTTCTCCTCATCTCTGTTTTAAATTTGTGACCTTTATTCTGAGATTGTGTTCTCTGGTCCTGGACTCTCCCAATTTGTGAAACAACCTCTCCACATCCACCCTGTAGAATTTTATATTTTAATTAGGTCACCTCCCATTCTTAACCTCCATCAAAATTTAGAAGAGTAAACAGTCGGAGAAGTGTATGCAAACTCGGCACCTTCTTCAGACAGCTTCTGCCTGACCTCTGGTAGAGCTGTGGATCCAACGTTGCATTGTTAGTCACCTCAAGACCCATAACTCCAGAGTGGAGGAAAATCATTCTCTCTCTCTTGAGAGGGGGGTAATGGATTGGTGATGGTGGTGTCGAGCAACATGGGAACAGGAGTAGGCCATTCAGCCCCTCGAGCCTGTTCGACTATTCAACAAGGTCATGGCTGATCTGTGGGATGGTAACACTAATGAAATTCTATCTTGCGAACAGTGTCAGGCTATTGCTTGTCTGACATATTAAACATGCGACCTAACAGAACAACTTGCTGGGCCATTTTAGAGCACAATAAAGAGTCAACCATATTGCTGTTGGGTTCACCATTACTGAGATTTGCACTGCTTTGAAGATTTATTAATTTAAATTCCACTAGTTGCCACTGATAGGATTCAAACCCATGAGTATTTGCCTGGTGCCTCTAGATCGTTAGTCTAGTGAGATCACCGCCACACTACAGCCTCCCCTAGTGTTAGAGGGCTGAGAATGGCAGATGTGACAACTTCTTTGGAGAAACGGTGTAAGCACAGTCCTAGCAACTGTACAGGTCAGTAGTTTAACCTTAGAAGTGGATATGGATAAGGTTTAACAAACAATATTAGAAGAAAATAATCAATAGACACTTACAGGGGTTGAGTTAGTTAAGGAGAGCCAGTGTGGGTTTCTAAAAGGCAGACAGTGTTTGACCAATGGAATTGAAATATTTGATACCGTAACAGGGAAGGTTAATGAAATGAATGCACATATTGCCTGTATGTACTTTAAGAAAATGTTTTACAATGAACCACATAAAAGGGTGAGGCTGTGGCACAGGAGCAACAATGTCAAATTAGATTTTTAAAAATGACTGAAGAACAGAAACTGTGAGTTTTGATAAGTGGTGATGTTTTTTCAGACTGGAGGATGATAGACAGTGTGTTCCCAAAGGGTAATTGCCAGGACCTGTGATTTTTAGTTGCTCTATGTACAAGACTTGGATTTTGGAAAATTTCAAAATATACTGTGATATCAAACTTGAAAGAATAGTAAACTGTGAGGATGATATTGGTTGACTACAACAAGACATAGATAGTCCAGCAGAATGAGCAGACATGTAGAAATGGAATTTAGTATAGAGAGGTGTGTCAGGTATTTTGGCTGAAGTTGTCAGGAGAAATAATTAATTCAATAATAATTAAAGCAAATAACTTGTTCTGAAGAATGTAGTGAAACGGACTATTTGTGCATTTTTGAAGATGGCTGGACACACTGAGACAATAGTGAGCAAAGCATGGGAATAGAGGAATTGAGTACAAAAACAGAGAAGTTATGCTGAACCTTAATAAAGCTCTGGTGAGACTATAGCCAGTGAATTACATCCAGTTCTGATCACTGCACGTTAGAAAAGATGTGAGAATCTTTGAGATGGAGCAGAAAAGATTTAGAAGAATGGATCCAGGAGCAATGGATTTTAGTTACCAAGTCAGGTTGGAGAAGCTGGGATTGTTCTCCTTGGAGCAAAGGAGATTAAGGGAGATTTGATAAATGTCTGCAAGATTATGGCATATTTATATATGATAAACAAGATCATAAGATGTAGGAACAAAAACAAAGTTGCTGGAAAAGCTTAGCAGGTCTGGCAGCATCTGTGAAGGAAAAAACAGAGTTAACATTTCGGGTCCGGTTCCCCAGTTCTGAGGAAGGGTCACCGGACCCGAAACGTTAACTCTGTTTTTTCCTTCACAG